TAGGAGCAGCAAATTTATGCGCGTGAGGTACAGAAAAAAGATTGGAATTATGTTTAGTTTTTGGTGTTTAGATTGTTTTCTTTCTGTCTTTTTTCTTTTTTTTTTTCTTTTTTACAGTAGGCCAGTAGAATTCTCATGAGAACAGCTTTTAAGCACTTCAATGGAGAGTCATTTTTTGGTAGCTTCCAGAAGGTGCCAAACAGATTTCAACATCATAATAATTAGAAATACCCATAATAATTATAACAATAATAAAAAGGTGTAATATGATACATAAATATGGAAGAGCAGTTTGTAATAATGAATACATTTTCTCTAGACGAGATCACAGTTTTATTTTGTAAATATTACATTTAAGTATATATATACACACATATATGTACAACTATATATACATGTGCATATATATGTAAATTTATATTTATATATAATATCTTTATATAGATAGATATCTGCAGACAGGTTCTTGATTATAGAGACCCAAGAAAGCAACTCAATAATTGTTCAAAATTTTCCTCACTGACTGCTGGTGTGTAGTTTAAGAAGCCCCAAGTTGTTTGCACTCAGAATGCCATATCTTCTTGTAATGGAACATCTGATGTGGAATTTTAAGTCTGAGAAATGAGGTGCCTTCTGAAGAAGAGATTTTAGAGAAGCCCTTCCTCTACAAGTTGGAGATGACCTTGAAGTCTTGAATAGATGGTAGTTAACTGACTTTGACACTGTAGGAAGTAATCAGTTTTTACTCAAATCCTAATGGTAAAGGCCAGAATATGGAAGGAGGAGGATTAAATTTACCTAAAAAAAGATGAAATATTCAATACAGTTTTCTCTTTTAAGGTGAACTATTATCCAGGAGCTCTGGCTTTATTCCTTGAACTATCAAACAAGCACTCCCTGTCTTTCTTAAAAGGACAATGAACTTGTGCATTCTTGAAAAATATCTCATGGACTTTGTGTCAAGCCTTGGCCCTCACCGCCCACCGCCCATGTAAAACCTCAGGGCCTCACAATCCCCTGCCCTCCCGTTGTGAGGTAGGTATGTAGTTTTATCCCCATTTTGCAGCTAGAGAAATTGAGGCATATGCAGAGGCAATTGGATAACTTGTTCAAGATCACTGAGCAAATTGCTGCCTGGAGTTAAGAATTCTAGGTTCTTTACACTAGGAACACAATTCCTCTTTTGGCTACTATGCATTTCTTTTAGAAAGCAAACGATTGGTAGGAATTTGGCAAAAGTTGAATAAATGACAAGAAAAAGCTTTTATTCATTTGCTGTTCAGTTCTTATGTTTGTTGATTACTTGTTTTGTTTTGTTTCTCATAACTCATTGAGATTACCTGTCTGGTCATGTAGCAGCTTTTTAGAAATTTGGACTGTGCAGTGTAGTTCTGAGTGCAGTCTTTATAAAGCCCAGTGCTATACTGGTAAATATAAACATTTTATAACGTGAAAAGCACGACGACAACAATATGTCCCCTTAATATTTGGTAAAACCAATATCAAGCCCTCCCCACTCCCTACTACCACTGATCGTCACCAAACAAAAGAACAAAATGCCCCCAACAACAACAATAACATATCAAGGGAAAAATGTCATATTTCCTGGATCTACCACAATGTACAGAAAATAACAGACAGTGTTATAAATCCCACTCTATGTCTTCTAGGGAAATCTTTATGCTTGTGTCTAGCTACTCAGTCTGTAGAATAAACAATTTCCTTTAGGAAAGATAAACATAGGTTTTATTCTTAGTTTTTAATCATGCATTTTTATATCTTTTTAATCTCCTTGTTTTCTATTAACCTCTATCTGTACAGCTTTGTCACCATCAATTTCTTTATTTTCGCACTTGAAGTAGTTCCAGAAAAAAACACAAAACCTTAAAACTATTGATTTTCTTTCTTCCTTTTCTTCCCTCTTTCTTTCTTTCTTTTCTCTCTTTTCTTTTCTTTCTTTCTTTCTTTCTTTCTTTCTTTCTTTCTTTCTTTCTTTCTTTCTTTCTTTCTTTCTTTCTTTCTTTCTTTCCTTTCTTTCTTTTTCTTTTCTTTTCTTTCTAAAACACAGGTAAGACCTCTAACAAATTGACAGTTACAACCAAGTTAAATCAAACCTGGAAGGGAGGTAGCTGAAAACTGTCTCAAGGAATTATTTTCAACAAATAGCATTTAAGCATCGGCCAAGGTGGAAATAAGGCCAAGAGAACTGTCTAGGCAGTGACTCAACATGCTGAAGCCAGGAGTGGCAGCTGATACCCCACATCTTCAAAGCCTTACTATTTATGATCATTAATCTCTCCCTTCCTTCACACTCCAATTCACCCACCAAAACTGAATTCCCAAGGACTGTATTCCCTTAAAAGGTTGTTGGCACAGAATCTGGGGGTAATGTAAGTCCTTTGGGCAGGCAGTTAGGGTTGTGGCTTGGAAAGGCTTCCCAAGACAGGGCTTACAGAACTGTCCACCTCATCTTTTTACTGCTAACGGGCTAATACTTCAGATGCAGAAACCTCAAGTGTTTTAGGGCCATAGAGCTGCTGATACATAACAACGCTTCAGAGCTGTTTCCTCATGAGTACTCTGTTGTCCTAAACAGGAGATGATTGAAGTGATAAAACAATGAGTTTATTCCCAGGAAAAAAAATAGAACTGGGAATCAGGGCATTGCACAAGCTGAACTGACTCTCCTCCACTAAGGTTTGAGAAGAGACACCTTCCTTGTGGGCACGAGCGTGGTTACCAATCAAGTAGCCTCTTTTGCCTAATATCCTTGGCAATTAAGAATTTTTAGTAACAGGATTAAATGATAGTGAGGAGACTGAATGGGTCTTTACTCAGAAGGGCTAAATTCAATCTGTGAGTCTGAAGATATAAATCAGCCTTCAGGAATTTTTGTTCAGGTGGAGAGTGTGGGGACAGATGACGGTGAGAGTGAAGATGGAAAGAGGATATGGATCGATTTAAGGGAAGCTGGTAAGGTTCTTTTGTGGTTCCTGCTATCCCATCATTAGTAACATCATCTTTAGGTCTTCAAAGCTTTTTGTATTACTTACGGGTGCAATTAAGTTATAGGGCAGGTTGACACTGTTACCCTCCTTAGCTCATACTTTCTAAGATAACACCACAGAGGTTAATCACTTAGCTAGGGCAAGTAAGAGACCTGGAGAGTTGGCAAGAGTTCTAAAATATTGGAGAGGGGTGCAAAACAAGATCTATTCTTCTAATATTATTTGTTACTTTTTTTTTTTTTTGCTGAAGAGTGGCCCATAATTACAGTCACAAAATGCCTTGAATATATATTAAATATGATTTTGTAAGAAAGAAACATAAAGGATTTGCTTTAACAATGATGGTAGCCCATCCATTCTGGAACTCAATCTTAAAGTTTGCAATACGGTACAAGCCACGTAAACGATCTAAGCACTGCGTTCTTATCTGTGGGCACCTGTGCAAAAAGCACCTTGATATATTTCTGAATATAACAGGCCACAGATGGCCAATAGATGTCTTCTCAAGTGTGTTTGATCACAAGGTACTGCTATTGGGAGTGATACAGTAAGATGGTTTCTAAAGTTATTTTTGGTTTTAATAGAAAAAAAGCCTGCGATGGAGTAACAATGCCTGCCTTGGATGCAGGAATTAGGAGGGGCTGCACACATGCCTGGTATTTTCCATTCCTATGCTAGACTTTGTTTTTGTTGGTTGTCTTTGCTCGACTTGAGATGACTTAATTTACAGTAATTTTATGTGATATAGCTAGTCTAGACACTCCCATCTCCTCAATTCCAGCTCCAGGTTGCAGAAAATATGTCATACTTAACCATTCTCTACTCCTCATTCTGTATTAATCTCTTCTCACATTATATTAAAGGGAGTGGACAGGTAACTGACTAAAAAGAGGCAAAGAGACCCCCAAAGACATGGAGGCTTCCACGTCTTTTCTACTTTTGGAACCTGAACATGGGAGAGAGAGAAGGTTTAACCAGCCACAGGTGTGGAAGGTTGTACTGGTAGCTGGAAAACCATATGGAAAACATGATGACCATGTTGAGCTGTTGGGTACTTAGGCTGTGAATTGTTTGGCTTCCCTCTAATGGGCCCTCTAGAACACAGTCTATATTGATATTATCCATTATGATACTCTCTTCCAGAATTATATCTACTCAGAGCAACAGTGAGGTTCTCAGGATCAAAGGCTACTCTAGCCCAAAGGGCTAGGAAGATTAGGATAAAAATAATAACCAGAGTCTCAACAATTCCAGTAGTCTCTAGATGGCTCCAACATCATGAAAATTTAACACTGTTCCACTTGATTACAAAATCTAACACTGGCTTAGACATTCTGGACTTTCAGTGAGGTTCCAGTATCTGAAGACCCTCAACTCCCTTCCCTGATGAGAGACCCATCTAAGGGGGACTTAACTTCTTACCATATGGACCCATGAGAGTTCTTCTCTAGCAGAAGGACTAAGAAATGAGGAGTTGTGGAAAAATGTGGGTCACTTTTAAGGCAGACTGTTTGGTTGTGTGGGGTTTTTCCTAACCTAGTCCTACAATCTTGGGTTATTCAATGTATAGGATAGAGCAGCAGGAAAAGTAGCAGCAAATGTGGTCCCAAGGCGAGATTTGGGAAACAGGTGAGTACTGGAGGGATATTATGACCTCAAGCCTCAAGCAGGGGACTGGTATAATACCTTGACATTGCAATTCTAAGCCATTTTCCAGATTGGCCTTGAACCCTGGAGTTGGGGTAAAATCCCCACGGCAGCAGAAAAACTGGGGGGCTTTGCATACCTTGAAATCTTTACCTCTTATGGGTCCTAGTTCCCTAGAAGGTAGAGTGATCACAGACCATTTCACTTCCAATCCCAAAGGACTGCACAGTTGTACATGCCCAATATATTCTGAGCCTCAGGGTGTGAGCTATCTTGGCATCTCAACACTTGGCCTTAGCAGTTTCTACAACTTTCTTTCTCCCAAAGATAGTGTTGGTTAGGAGCTTGGGAAAGAAAGATTGAGTTTGTTATAGTCTCTCTCTGCTCAGTCTCCAGACCTGCCCTCATACTGATGTTTGTATGGGTATGTATGCATGCATGTGTACTAACCACAGATGTGCACACTCTAGATACAGAACATGGTTTTTTTTGTTTTTGTTTTTTTGCTGTGGTAGTGTGACAAATGGTTAGAATTTTAGGAGGCTCCAGGACTGCACACTGTATATGCAATCCATCTCAAACTTTGGAATGGGATTCCATTTCATCATTCAACATGGCAAGACTTGGTTCATTCACCCCACTGTGATTCCTTCCTGGATAAAATTAAAGGCAGACCGGTTGGGTGCTAAGGATCCCTGGTGTGGAGAGGCCATTCCGTTGAGCAGCTGACTGTGAAATCAATACCAAAGGGATGCGGGTCCTGGTGTTAGGAATTCTTTCACAACTCCTTCTCCCTTCTTAGCCATGGCTGTAACCCCGGAGGTCTTTCCGGCTGTGTTCTTGGGCCTGGGGGTCCCGACAAGCACAGTCACCTTGTAGGTCACAGGACATAGGGAATGGAGTAACCTGCAGAGAGAAAGAGAGGAGTGAACCAGGTAGTTTGATCTGAAGCAGTACTTGTCAGAAAGGCAATGCAAAGCAGGGTCACAATCACTGAATTTGAGAAGCAGAAGATTCTCTGCTTCTTGTTCTTACTGTGATTACTTTTGTCAAGAGCACCACGGTCACTATCACAGCAGTTTCCATTTGCAGAGTCCTTTGCTATGGGGTTCAGCAGCATGCTGGATACTTTCAAAACAGGCAAACACTGAATCCTTTTGACAACTCTGTAAGATAGGTGCTATAACAACCCTCCTTTTATTGAAGGGGACACTGAGGCTCAGCAAAGGACAAACATTTACTCAAAGTAATAAATAAAAATCTGGTATTTAAAGTAAGATGAGGTGCTTCTCCCTGAGTTTCAAGTTCCTTTGTTAGAGCTTGTATAATAGGATCCATCTTGCACTTTAAACTATAAGGGCTGAGTAAAAGCATTATAATGCACTATATCAAAGTTGTTGAACATGATTTTACAATGGGATATCCAATGTATAGGGCTGTTGTGATCATCCAGTCAAAGGAACAATGTGAATGTATCTTTTATGAAAACTCTGTAGGTATTGGTAATTTAGATTTGGGGAGGCACTGAAGAAAACAAAAGCATGCTGCAGGCAAGCACAGACCACCTTCTGGGAGGCTTGGAATCCCAAGTAGGAAATAGTTCACATAAAGGTTCTACAAAAGATTTGAAGGACCTCAGGAGCAGATTTTAGCATAAGAAAAAGCAGGAAACCTGAGTTTGTTCCGTCCAGGGCCCAGTCCATCCCTGCATGTGCTCTGTGACCTTGGGCCACCTTTCCTTTCTCCAAACTGAAAGGAAGAGCCCACAGAGTGAGTGTCTTTCCCATTCAGCAGATGATCTGTCATTCCAAAGAGCATAGTGCAGTCCCTGCTTGAATCCCAGCCTGAATTAACACAAGTCGATTTCACCTCATTGCATCATGACATTTGCATATAACTTTCCCCAGAGGGTACCCCATCTGCTCAGATGAATTTAATGACTTCATTCACCTCCTGCCTGGGCAGGGTCTCCAAGTGCCCAGATAGTCCTTAGAGTGTCATTATTTCCATCCTTCTCTATGATGTACTTGTGAACTCGTTCTCTATGTCTAGCTCTTTTTGTTTCTCTGCCCCTTTGCCCTCCTTCCCTTCCTTCCAAACTTTCTGTGCCTTGAATCTCTGCAATAATTTAAAATGTATGATTGAACATTAGAATGATTTAAATATAAACCCCAGCTCTTTTACCTAGTTGAGGTGTGACCTTGAGCATGTGACAATCTCTCTGAGCTTCAATGAACTCATCCATGAAATCAGAATAATAAAAGTGTACAACACCTGAGGTTGTGATACGGAATAAATAAAATAACTCATGAAAAATACCTAGCACAATGCTTGATATATGCTAAATGCTCTCTCTCTCTCTTTCTGCCCCTTCCTTTTTTTTTTTGGCCTATTCTCCCACCAATTCTGTGGCTCATGAGGCAAGAATCAGGTCAATCTTATTTTCACAAGGCCTAACCTATAGAATTCATGAATTCTATTTAGTTCTCTCTCTCTCTCTCTCTGACTCTATCTTTGTACTATGGGTAACATGTCTGTTTTTCTTTTCAATTTAAATTCATAGATATTTGATGCTGTAGTAAGCATTTTCATGGTTCCTTTTTCCTACTCACTGTTTTCTGTTCAAGACATTTACTTTCCAGCCTCCGTGATTTTGTGGAATATATCTGGAATATTCCATCAAAAATCTAGAATATTTGTCTGCAACCTCTTTACCTTCAGTAGAAGCACGGGATATTAGAAATGGAAGATCCACAGAGAGAAAACCATCCGGTCCAAATGGGGAAACAGAGCACAGAGCCAAGTCAAAATCCAACAACAGAAGAGCTGAAAGGCCTGGGTTGAGATCCTCGCTTGCTTCATACTTGCTGAATGATTTTAGGGAAATCCCTTCACTGCCATAATCCTTAGTTTCCACATCCATAAAAGGATCATTAAAAATATATATATTGAATTTAATATGGTTGTGAGGATCAAACAAAAAGAAACATGAAAAAGCCCCTACACGTGGCTTAATACCTTTAAGATGCTCAGTGCTGAACACAAATGTGTTGAGGCAAATTTCTCACTGATTCATATTTCACCATCTTTCCTGCCTATTGTCCGCTCTGTCCTACCTTCCATATTTGGAAAACCTCCTTGTCCTTAACTCCCCTACACTTTATCCGTTCCTGTCTCCTATCCTTGTTCACATTCTGTTATTAAAAGCCTCTAATGTCTTCTCTATAATTTTCTCTGTAACGCTTTCCCACTGTGTTTTAAGACCCATTAGGGACAGTTTTCACATCTGCTTTATCTTTTATGCTTCCTGCTGCACCTCATGCAGACAAATACTCGACCAATTCTATCTCTTGTAATAAAATCCCAAATCCTTGCCACAAGTTCAAGGTCTTGCATGATCTGATCTCTACACATTTCTCTGACTTCAGCTGGTTCTCTTCTTCCCCTCACTTTTTGTGACTTATTTGTTTATTGTTCCTCATACACTCCAAGTGTTCTCTTACCTTTTAAGTGTTTGGCCATCAATGTTCCTCCACCCTGACAGCTCTTCCCTGGCCAGCTCCTTTTTATTCTTCAGATCTTATCTCAAGCATCACCTATTCTCTAATTGATCTGGCCAAAGATGGCACCATCACCTTCATATCATGTCACAGCATCCTATTTTAACTCTCATCTTGTACTGATTTACTTCTTCATTTGTATGTTAGCTTAGTCTGGGCATAGGTTATGACAATTCTTGAACTAATTCTTAATATACCACATAATAGGCATTCAATGAACTCAAGAATGGATTAACAAATGAATGCATGAATATACAGGCAAAATACAAGTCAGAAACTTTTTACTCTTGCACTCACTTGCTGGGTGACTTTATACAAGTTAATTTCCTTCTCTGGGCTTCAGTTTCCCTATCTATAATAAGGGTTGATCTTCATGACCTTAATTTTCCCATCAAAGGCTAAAAATCCTTCTCAGGCTGAGAAAGGTAGAAAGCAAAGCCCCAGTCAGAAAGAAATTAGAAACATAGACTTTCTCCACAAACTGACTTGCATGCTCCCCTTTCTGCCTTCCCCAGTTGCATCAGCTTCTCCACAATTATCAGCTGGCAAAGCTTTGCTGTCAACTAGCTTCTCAGGCTGGTCTGCCCACTCTGGTTATGCTGCAGTGGTATTGCCAGTGTCTTCCCTTTCCAGGCTGGCCCTGGCAGTTCCAGTACTTCTTAGTTAAACACATCTGAAAGCTATGTTTCCAGATAAAAGGAAACACAATCAGAACATGACAAGTCCTAGACGGTTCAGTCTCAGGAGGCAGATCCAGAAGCCTCCTCATCTCCACCACATGATGCTTGTAAGTATTAACTGAGCACTTGCTAGAATTTTGGGATTTAGTAGTAGGCCCCCCACAGGAATTGTATGATTTCCGGCAAGTCCCTGGCACCGTGTGGACCTCAGTCTTCCTAGCTGTAAGACAGGGGTCTTCATAAAGACCTCACGGGATTCTGGTGAGAAGTCAATGATATCATGTCATCTCTAATCCAGCTCTTAGAGCCACCATTGCAGAGGAGATGCAGTGTCTCGTTCCCTCTTCTTGCCTCTTTGTGAACTTCTGTTCAGAACCTGCCTTTGGGGTCTCCTCTTGATACGGGCTTCCTCACCGAACATGGATCTAAAACTGGGGAGAGAAGGAAGGAGACTCCCAGATGTTCCTAAGCCTAACCTAGAAAAGGCTCAGGGAAGCCTGTCTGTGCAGTTCAGTGAACACCACTGTACATATACCAGTAATTCCCGAGAGCCTCCATGTGCCAGATGGTTTCTATGTACTAGCTCACTGACTCTGCACAACCTTGTGAGACCATTATTATTAGCTACCCATATTGCAGATGAAATAATAAAAGTTACACAATGTTTAAAGAAAAACAAACATACCCTTGGCCTCACTACCAGTCCATAAGTTGATGATGACGAATTCTAAACCCCACTCCAAACACTGAGAGCTTTTCAGCAAGTGAGAGTGAAAAGAAGGTGCTTTCCTCCCAACTTATCAAGGCTGACTGCTGCTTTGCCTTTTTAATAGCCAGTAACCTTTATCCCTTATGATGTGCCTGACACTGAGCTAAACTCAATGTGCATTATCTTACTCATTCTTCCCAGCAATCCCCAAACCCCCTGTTCTTACTTACTATTCCTTACTAGATGAAACTAAGGTGTAAAGTGAGTCACTTGGCTGGTAGGTGGCCTGGGATGTGCATCATCACAGAGGAAGAATCTGAGGCATGGGGAGAAGACTCACATCCTGATAAAATCAGAACTCTGAGCCCAATCCCAGATTCTCTGATTCCCCAAGAAGCTTTCCACCTTCTTCCCCAGGCAGCCTCCCAAGAAAACCTACCACCCACAGCATGAGGGCCATGGTGACCAGGTTACGTTTGGGGATTCCCAGCACCATGTGGCTAGGCTATCCAATAAATGGCTTGGCCACCCACTCTGGGATTCAGTTAACAAGCCAGGTCAATGACTAAGGGCCAGGATTCTTTCCCTTTTTTCTCCCTTCTTGGCTAGAGATAGTGCTCAGGTACAGGAGTTTCTCCCATGGGTGAGTTGCCCAGGCTAACACCTCCATCAGGAATGCAGCTCAGGCAAACATACCACAAGGCCCTGGCCGCAGGTCTTGTCTGGGATTGAGAGACAGGCAAGGGCTGGATTCTGACTCATACTCAACAGGGAGGTAACCAGCAGAGTGGTGATGGTAGTGGGGAGCGTGGTTTTGGGGAGAGACAAGAGACATGCTATGCTGACAGTCGGAGAGCCTTTGCTCTGTCACCTGCTGACTGTGGGAGCATGGGCAAGTCACTTCACCAGGCTGCATCTCAGGGTCTTCCCTGTTGATGGAAATATTTAATGAGACCA